CAAGTCCGGTGCAAAAACGCATGATCGCACGGGCCCGCCCGGTGCGTTCCAGCCTGGGTTTTTTTTCATGCAGATGAAAGCGAGTATAAGGTGCATCACTGATTTTCTTCGTTAATTTAAAGTCAGTAAAAAGGCACCGATCGCTGGTTTCAGATGTTTGCATCGATGAATTCTTCGTTCTCATCCGAAGTGTATTCAATAGACGTTGGCGTAGAAACGGACTCGGAAATGGAGTGGATCACACCAGAAATGTTAATTTACGAAAAGAATGCGCAGCTGAATGCTCAAGCATCGACTTCATCGATGCAACTGTCAACTAACGCTTCTCAAAATTACACAGATTCTCAGGTGCCATAATGGAAAATCATGCAGCTTTTTTGTGTGGGACGAAAGTAGGGAAAGCTTTTGAATTGAATTGATTGAGAAAATACCTTTAGCAGTTTTTTGCCTAAGCACACCATAATTTTTAATTCACTGATTAATTGTTTAGTAATTGCAGTTAAAATATTGATAAACATGCGGCGTTTTAGTGGAAATAACTATAATGTATGACTTTGAAAGTGCTTTCTCTCTTCGTTTTTTTTAGTTCGTTGCCGTTGCTTCGTCGATCTGAATAAGCTAAACGACGATTAAGTATTATTTATTTTTAAGAGCAATTACTCAGCGACGCCGGATCGTCGCCAACGTCGGCGACTTCGATCAGGGCAAACACCAAGCTGGCTCAATCGGTCTGTGACATCGGATATAGGCAATCGAGCGCTCGATGGAATCGAAAGTAATGACAAGTTTGCTGCCGCTGCCAGTCGAGTGGATCGAATGCTCGCTGAATTAACAGCGATTGCTGATTTGGATCTGAGGCTCGAAAATAATCCATTCCCTACCGCCCTTTCTACCTCCACCAGAAGCTTGAGGTAAATTGTTTACAGTCGCCAGGCCCAGCCTTTGTTTTAGTTGAAAAATTCGGCCTTCACTCACTCCTAGATCCCATGTACCTTCACGTCAAAGTTTGGTCTGGCACTATGCCATATGAGAATTGTTTGCTATCCACTAAGTAATGTGCCGTGCCGTTCTACATCTCACATGCGAGTACGTGAATTCGTTTGGCGACTTACTGATTTTTCTGCGTCTCTTCGACATTTACCGTGCTTTTGCTTGCAGAAGAGATATATCAAGCGCCTGTCATACGGAGTACGATAACGCCGAATCCGAGGGCAACTGCTCAGATTCTGAAATGCTCGATGGCCGTCTGGAACAGCTGAAGAAAGCTTTAAGGTTTATTTTGTTGCTTCTCAAACACTGTTACAATTCGATTTAATCGCGCAGCAAGTTTATTTTTTCAGAGATTGCAGTCGGTCAAGTACGAGTCAGAGGAGGAAGCGTCGTCTGTGGAGTCGAACTGATAACGGTAATGATGCCGATATCGACAGCGTTTGCTCCTCACTTGGTGCTTCTTCCATTTTTGGCAATCTCCGGTGGAGCAGGTCTGTTTAACTAGCTATACCTTAGCGCTGTCCTTTATACGAATTCAAAACAATTTCTTGACAATATTCATTTTCACCTTTGCAAAATATTCAAAAACACATAACTAGGTTCAAGCCCTGCATTTAGTCGGAATTGTCGTCTTTCAAGTTATTCCGGGAATTTCAGTTTAGCAGTGCTTTAAGTTTCTTTAAATGAAATTTCAAATCTTATTTTCAAAACTGTTAGGGCGCCCGAACAATCCGTATTGTTAATGATGTCACTGGGCCACTCATACGCGTCTTTGCTGTTTCAAATCTTACAACTGAAATATCCGAGCAGCCGCCAATTCATATTCGAGTTCTGCAGTTGTGCAGCTGATAACTTTTCTTTTGGCCGGTGCCGCATCGTTAAGAGATTACTCTGCTGGCGATTCTGACATTCGTTTCGTCTTCTGAAGGGAATGCTAGCTCAGTGGTTTTTTTGACGGATTAGGATGTCTTTGGTGTGTGCTGAGCATCACAGGCTGATCCAGCTTCTAGACCACGACGAAATACGCCGCGGACTGGGAATTCAAGAGTTAAAAGTAACGGAAATTTATGTTCTGAGTTCATTCTTGGTGATATGCGCTCATCGTGGAATTTTTCACAGGGCTGTCACTCTCAACTATGTCAGTGTTGTAATTCCAAAAAAAAAAAAAAAAA